AAAACTCAAGAAATTCATCCAAACGAAATATTATGACATATCCATTCGAATTAAATTACAGCAAATAATTGACGAAACGCTTACCGGCAAAGAAACAAGCTACATTGATGTGCTTCGGACACGTAGAAAAGAAACAATTTCACGTGGGACAGTCAACACTAATTAAGTCGGGCCATTGAATACAACACTATCTACTCTGTATAACCCACCTGAAAATAGCACACCACCAACGAACAAAAATAATGGACAAAGTTCTTAAAAGAAATTGTTTATGTAAATTTGCATAAAGAATAATTGAACATAATATATTTCACATAAACAAATTCAATTCAGAATTTGAAAATAAATGTTTAAAGCAGTGTTTGTTGACTGAAAAAGAATGCAAGAAAAATAAAATGTACAATGAGTAGCGTAATTGATGCAGGACTAAAAATATTTTAAATGTATGCGATACAAAATTGCACGATTTTTTGAGTTAAGCAAGTAAGATTAAAACTGTCAGTAATCAAAACGTCAATAGAAAATAAAAGAGGGGTGCCTACGTTTAGGCTAAGCTACTTGCCAAGCACTTGGAGAATCAAAACAAGTTAGAAAGTCAACAACATGCAAAGTAAATAACTTTCAATAAAATCCCTAATCTAACAATAAGATTAGAAGCATAGAAAGTGCACTCAATCCTAAGTTTACTAAGCTTTGGCAACGGCGAAACAAAATCCTATGCTTACTAAGCTTAGGCATAAGGCGAAACTCGGCTCCTTATGATTCGTCATCACCTACAAGATTAGGGGAATATAAAGGTTGAAAAGGGGAAGAAGGGGAAGAAGTTCACCTTAGTACAAGTCCGGAAACACATAGTCAAGATGTTGAAGAAGTTCGTCGTAGTCTCCTTGAAGGTTTAACTTAGAGAGAAAGAAGTTTCTCTAGTGTTGAAGTGTTGAATAAGCTAGTTGGTATTTCCCTTGAAGACTCCTATTGAAGAGGAGCTTATCTCAAAACCCCCCAAGGAAGAAAGGAGAATAAGTAGCCGAACATGGGGGAAAGAGATTAGGGAATTTGGGTTCAGATTTTGGGAAGGGATTTAATTCAAATCCTTCATTAGTTATTCCCCTTGATTGAAAAGAATTAATGAAGGGGAAGAGAGAGAGGGGCGACGGGTCAAGAGAGAGGGAGGAATTTAATTTAATTTCAAATCGGGGAGATCCTCTTTTAGAAAGATTTTGAATAAATTTGGAGCATGGAGATTTCGGCCAAGAGGGGATAAAGAGGGCTTGAAATATTTCCAAAGTGGTAGATTGTGTTTTTGGAAATAATTCCAAAAGGGATTTAGTGGGGTCGGCAGCATAGGGAAATAAGGGGAGGAGTTACGGGAGCTTTCAACGCCTTCTTGATTTAAGGAATCAAGTTTGGGAAGAAAGATTTCATCCAAGCTTAATTCAAAATTCAAATATGAAGGGATTTAGAAGCTTTTCTAAAATAGGATTTATATTTTAGGAAATAATTTCAAATTTAAATAAATTTGAATTTTGTAATTATTTGAGTTCCCTAAAATATGAGGAGTTAATTTAGGAAAGGTGTGATAGCAATTAGTGAGGGAGGGGAAGGCAAAGGGGAGTGGCCAGCGGGTGGAATGGGGTTTGGGTGAGGGTGGATGTAAGGTGGTCGGCGGTTTAAAGAGATGGGATTAATGCAAAGGCCGGCGGCTTGTTGGCGTGGGATTAATGTCCGGTGATGATGAGGTGTTTAGAAAGTGGAGATGTGATGATGAAAGGAAAGGGAAAAAGATAGAGTAATGGACCACGAACTTGGCTGTCTCCAAGGTTGGTGGGTGATCCAAATTGCCTCTCATAGAGATTTCGCTCTATCTACAAGTACTCTCAAGATCTCTCAAGAACTTAAGCAATAGCATAAAATTTTTTACCATTCAATCATCCCCCTTATAAGAAGAATACTAGGGCTATAAATAGCCTCACACAAAGACTCGCAAAATTAAAAGACTATAATGCCCCTAGGGCTTACATATGACCTCCCTTAATAAAAGGATACAATAGGAAAATAATAAAGCAAACTAATAAAATAAATACAATATGACATCATAAATAAAAAAAATACATAAAATAACTCAGAAATGTTATGACTCAATCATGGTCATAGATCGACGGTCACGTCTCTGATAGAATCTTCATGATCTGATGTCCCCATCAGTAATATATTCGAAATGTTTGAAATTATTTGAATGATGTGGGAGCTGGCAAGATCTCCTCCTTTCGGAAAGTAAGCACCTCCCTCAGCTGGTCGTGCTAGCCCTAAACAGTTCGATAGTTCACAAGAATCCTATGCCTCCAACGAGAATGAGTCAGACAGAGAGGATGGATTGGAGAATGAGATGGAAGAGTCGAAAGGCCAATCCGACTCTAATACCGACATAGAGGATGACCTATACTTGTCGGAAACTCCCGTGTCTGCCCAGAACCGTGAGTCGTCGTTTGAGATTATGTACATCCAACCTCCTGTGCAGATTGGTTGCGTATAACCCGTAGTCTCCCAGGTGCACCCTTTGGACACATCAATCCCATATGAGGATTCTTCTCCTACTGCGAAGGAGTTTGATGGATTGGTTTGTGGCTCGAGTGCAACCATGTTTGGAATGGTTTCTCCTAGCTCTAGGTGTAAAATTCCCCATGATCCATCAGCTTCTCAGCCCTTTGATACGGGTTCACACCCACAAGATGTTTGCGAAAATGCCCCAAGAGCCCGGGGTTCAGATTATTTGCCAAAGCAACCCGCACAGGCCCCTCCCTCGTCTGCTAGGGGCTTATCCTATGGTCCTTTTGCTTGGAACAAACTTTAATTAGTTCCTTTAGACAAGATGAGTCAGGAGACGTTTATTGCCTCGGATGGTGTTTCCATGGAACCAGAGAGAAATGTTGTGCAAGCTAATTTGGCCATGCTTGATTGAGCGCTTGTGGCTAAGCTTCTTGACAAACGAATTGCCTTCCTTTACCTTCTCAGTGAACTCAAATGATGCTGGTACCACTTTGGAGACTTCCAAATTATTACCATCATGCCAAATTCTTTCATTTACATTTTCCAAAGTATTGATGTTAGGAATGCGGTTTTAATCAGTGGGCATTGGATTATTGTCGGCAACATCATTGGAATGGACAGATGACTCCCAACTTCTCTCCTAACTCCCTTTAAGGTCTCCATTCACCCATTTGAATTTGTTTTCCATAGCTTCCTCTCATGTACTGGGATACAAACAACATCACTCGACTTGCCAATATGTTTGGGGAACCTCTGTGGATGGACTCACACACGAGTACTTAGGGAAGATCATCTTATGCAAGAATTTGTGTTAGGATTGATCTCTCTCAAAAGCTTCAAGCTAGGGTATGGGTCAATGGGCTCCAAGAACGATTTTTTTGAAAAGTCGAATATGAAGGGCTTACAAATTTTTTATTCGATTGTGGTTTCATTGGTCATGCCAAAGGAGCTTGTCTATCAAAGGCTCTCCAACCTATGGCACTCAATCTTCCCCACTACAGTCGTCGCCACCAACCAAGGTGCATGCCGCAACCGAAAATATGTACCCCATGCACCCATTCCTCATCATGAGACGAAGAATAAAGTTGTTGAAGAGCCCTTTCTAAGTGAGGACAAGGATGACTCCTCCCTTGGAGCTTGGAACCTAGTCACTCGGAGAAGGAAAGGAAAACCAAGGCCTCCTAAAGAACAAGACACTCGTCCTCTAGCTGAACCTCCCATCCAATTCTCGGCTGAGAATTTACAGCAAATGGAAGAAACTTCTAATAGGATTGTGAACTTTTGCAAGCAACAACCAAAAGTCTCCAAGTCTCGATTGGACAGAGAGCTGCTCTGACTAGGGCCTCGGAGTGCTTTGGCCATCTCCCCTAGGAAGAGGAAGAAGACTTCGACAGATTTCACAGGCAGGGACTTGGTCCCCTCAAGTGCTTAATGAGTGACCTCTTTTTATTGGTTTGTATTGGGTTTTGTTGCGTAATACAAACCATTGAAGGCGTCCTCCTTCTCACTCGAGGGATTTCTTTCTTTTTGTTTCTGTCTGTGGCTTGGTTTGGGTGATTTTCTAGTTGTATCCCTCCCCTTTTGTCTTTGGGAAGTGGAAGTCTTTCCTACCACAAGCCTGTACCTCTCAGTGTATCCTTCTTTTTCATTTTTAATATAGTTTAAAAAAAAATAGATGATTAGCTTTTTTATTTGATTTGAAGTAAATAAATGCAATGTAAAAGTTCAAATATGTTGGTAGCCAACAATGATGGTAGGCCATGGCAGGCGGCGGTGGGCGGTGGTGGCCAGTGATGGATTGTGTTGGTCAGTGGATGTTGGGTGTCACCAGAAGTGGGCCATGACAGTTAGATACGTCAATCAATTATGAGTAGCGATGGTAGGCAGGTGGCGGTGGTCAATTATGACAACGATCAGCTGTAAATAGGTAGTGGTGGCTGACGACGACGATGACTGAGTGTAGTCAGGACCAACAATTGACATTGGCTGAGTAGGTGGTGACTACTAAATACACCAAATTTAATGAATTCAAAATACACGAAATTTAAACTAGAATGTGTTTTTCAAATACATTAAAATTTTACTCTACTTTTTTTTTTACTTCAAATCAAAAATCAATATTTTTAAAATCCTCATATTTAAATTTTTTTCACTCATTTTACTTCAAACCAAACATACCCTAAATTATGAATTTTACTAACCATCCAGATGAACAATATTGATTAGTATAAATAAACACTTACAAGAATTTTATATAATTTTTTTTAAATAAAGAGTAATATTAAAATTAATTAATTATTCATATATTAAACTCATTTTTAAATTTTTAAATAAATAAAATTTTTAAAACTCATATTCATCAAAAGATATCCTGACCTACATAAAAAATCACTCAGAGCCGTTTACATATCTTAAACAATTTGGGAGCAAAAGAAAAAAAAAAATTGCACAGCATATCCTCATAAGAAAATATATTGTAAGTCAATGATACAAAATTTCATGGTATTTTATAAAATCTACAAAACATTTATATAAAATATACATACAAAATTTGACAGTCTTGCAATTTTCACAAAATCTTATGATGTTTTACAATAATGTCCTACAATTTTTTATGCATTGTTCTATCAGGAGCTCCTCATGCAATTTTTTTCCAAATAAACGCCAAGTATAACACCAAGGGTCCTCCATGCATAACCATAGGGCAATCAGGAATCCGACAGGGACATACGTGGTGACTGCTTCAATCTCCGGCGACCAGAAGGTGGTGGTGCCATCGCCCTCATGATCTCCGACAACCTCCCGACGAGGTCCTGGAAGGATGGCCTCTGCAATGGATCACTGCCAGTTCCAACACATTTGAATGAGCAGTAAATATATATATATAATAAAAAGCAAAACAGAAAACCCATAAGTTTCTTGTAGCACCTAAACAAAACTTAGCTGATAATTAATATATCCCAAACTTCAATACTAACATTAATATATAATTCTAATATGTAATATCTTAATAACTAACCCATTTAATCATATCAAATCTCATTATACAACTTCAACTTTAGATTAACTGATAATCGACCTAAATTTCTGCATTTGCTCTGGCAGACATCTAATATCATTCAATAACATTAAGGTTTCGTTTGGGTCGGCTTTTTTATTGCTTTTTAAAAGATCTTTTTGATCACAAAATCAAAATTTTTGCACTAGAAAACTGTTTTAAGAAGTAGTAAGAAAGCTGTCCCAAACGAAACCTAATTTGAAGTTTTGAACCCTTGAATTCTGATCTGATACTTAAATATTGAAGATGCTCAGTTTGATTTTTGAAGATCCTAAGTTCTGACCAATCAAAGCAAAAGTGGACTATGAGGAGAATACATTTCATAAACAGAATTAATATAGTGATTGTTCTTTAAAAGACCGTCATCCTCTTATAATAGTTGATTGATTATCTTTATATATTTTTATATTGATAGTATTAAAATTTAACAGGTATATTAATGAAATTATATAAATTTTTAAAAAAATACTATTAATTCATCACATTACCTTGCCCAACAATCAGAAATGATGGCTGCAATCTTGGGATCAATTCCTTGGGGAATATCCAACCGCTGATCCATGAAGCCTACCACTCCAACCACCTTCAAAGGAAATCCAATGAAGCGGTCAGCTTGCCAAAGCTAATTTTAGGCTTCGTTTGGGACGGCTTTTTTATTACTTCTTAAAACGGAGTTTGTGACGGCTTTTTTATTTTTTCTTAAATCGGAGTATTAGTACAAAAATTTTAGGCTTCGTTTGGGGCGGCTTTCTTACGGCCTCTTAAAATAGTTTTTTAGTACAAAAATTAAAACTTTTATACTAAAAAGCTGCTTTAAGAAGTAGTAAAAAAACCGTCCCAAACAAAGCCTTAATTTTTGTACTAAAACTCTGATTTAAGAAGCAATAAAAAAACCGTCTCAAACAAAGCCTTAACTAAAATCCTTGCTCAACAGCAGAAACCAAACAAGAAACAACATTTACTTGCATGGCGTTGAGATGGTTCCAAGGGATGGACTCAGTCATAAGCTCCCATAAGATAACTCCAAAGCTGAACACGTCCGACCTGCATTGCATGCACTTCTAGTGATTTCCTATATAATTAATATAATCTTTATCCTTTGGGCAATATCATCGTATGAATAGCTATAAATCAAACTATTATTATAGTAGTTTCCACATAATGATGTGTGAGGTGTTGGTTCAATTTAAGAATAGATTGATCCTACAAGTTATCACAATAATGTAAATTCCTATATATAGGCATTATATGCTGATGTAAGTTTTGGGAAAAAAATGATAAGGCTTTTGAAAAATTCCCTCCTCCAAATTTTGTTCTCTTCCCCCTTCTCGTTCTCTCTCTTGCAAGAAGCTCAAGAAGAGCTCAAGAAGCTCAAAACAACTCCTCCCAATTTCTTAACATGATGGATTGTCATCAATCTCACATCAAGATTGGAGTGAATGATATATGATGAAGGAAGACCCATCATTCGTTTTGAGCATTCCCTACTGAAATTTTTTCCAAATCCCAGCAATAAGATCATTTTTTCACAAAGAAGAAGCAACAAAATGGGATGAGGAAATTACTTCTCACTGGAGTATTCACCGCGGAGTACCTCAGGCGCCATCCACTGGGGCTGCAGAAATTCACAGTAACGGCTTCATGTTAGTATTTTGCATGACAAGTTCCTTCAACATTTTATTTTGTAGAGGATTCACAATGTTCTCTCAGTACTCATTAAATGAGTTTTCAATTCAAATAAAAGGACTAAACAAAATCACAAGATAAATCGGAGTGTTGGCTTTTTATCAAGTAAGAATGCGAAGATGAATTCTTAAATATTAATCTTTAAGCTCTGGAAAAGAACTTTCTAGAGAATATTTAAGAGCATATGAACTTTGACTATGATGATTACTTGATGCAGATCTTTTACTTGCTATTCAATTATCTGTTTTGCATCATGAAAGTAGAAGAGCCTTACGGTTCCCATTCCATTTTTTGTTGTTAGCACTGTTGAGATCTTTAAAGACGACAAGCCAAAATCACCAACCTGTGAAACAAAATTTCATTTTTCACAAAGAAATCACTCATGCAGTGCTTAATAGGAAGAAGTATGGATAAAAGTTAGAATTTTTTGGTATAAAGCTGTTGCTGAATAAGAAAATGAAACATATATCCCATTTTGTTGGAGATAGAAAAACTTCTTACCTTGACTGTCCAGGATTTGTCAACTAGTAAGTTAGAGGATTTAAGGTCTCTATGTATGATAGGCGGGTTCCTTCGATGCAAGTAATTCATTCCTCTAACCTGTAACCAATTCATGCCAAGCCCAGCTTTGAAAAGAGCCAGTTTAAAAAAATATTTTGCATCAGGAACTTACAACATCAAGTGCCATCCGCAAACGCCTTCTTAGGTCCAATATTTGCTTGTTTTTGTGGAGTGTTCTGAAGAGGCTTCCTCTGTCAAACAAAATTACAGTACTACGTTTTACTATCACTCAATAACACATACTCTATCTTGTATGCTGTAAATGTTGAAGTTTCACCTGGGTAGGTGTTCAGTTACAATCGCAAGACGCTCAATTGAATATACAGCTCCCATGAAAAGCAAAACATTTGGATGTCTTAACTTCTTCATGATAGCAATCTGCAATGCATCGAGATGAAGCATTACACTGCAGTATTTTTCAAATTTACACTTAAATGAAAGATTCGTACCTCCTTTTTGTAATCCAGCAAAACACTTTCACGATAATCCATTCTTGTATACACTTTTATTGCAACGTCCTAAGGAATTAGAGAGGATAATCAGTCATAATTCTCAATCTATGATCCAAACTTATGCTTCGTTTGGGACGGCTTTCTTACTTCTTCTTGAAGCAGCTTTTTAGTATAAAAATTAAAATTTTTGTACTAGAAAGCTGTTTTAAGAAGCAGTAAGAAAGCTGTCCTAAACGAAACCTTAAAGAGAACCTCCCAAGTTAGAATAGCATACTGATCCAATCCAATGTCCACGATAAACGACACCAAAAGAGCCTGAAAAGATAGAGAAGCCGGATCAGCATTCCGTCTGACTTTTCCTTTGTGACTCATCATTCTTGGTCTAATTTAGAGAAGGTTGATGCGTTAGAATAAAAATTACTAAGATTAAAATCTGAGAAGCACCAACATATTTGGAAGGCTTTGGGTCAGTTTTAGGCAACAATAAGCCTTCAACAAAACCGAACATCTCAAAAACTCTAGAACAGTTAATTTTTTGTTTAGATATAAAATAGATCATAATATGGCAGGGACATGTCCCAATTTGACTAGCAACAGAGATGTCTAAAGCATACCAAATGCAAGCCTAATATTATACTAAACACTGGCTTTGAATCAAGTTGCATAATTAAAACAAGTACTAGTTTCTTTCTGAAGCCTTCTGATTTTCATTAAGTGCATGCCTTCAATTTTGTGATATCTGGATGTCTCATTTATAAAATTGAAATTAGATATAGTGAAAATATAATCAGTTACGAAATGCTGAATTTAAATTGTGGCACTCTTACCACATATATATACAACTGCATTCATCCTTTCAAGTATGGTGGGCATTATATGCATGATATACACATGGCATGTATACGCCTTATAATACAAAATAGCTCTGTTGACCTTGTTCTAACTCCTACATTTCAAGGTTTGGTTGTTCCCATGTCTCATATTGCTAAGTTCACATGCTTCATAGCTTAAAATTCCAAGTTTTTGACTGGTGTTAGATGACTTAACCAGTCAAAACCTACATGTTAATTACTAAACTATTGAACATTCTGTTCAATGTGCAGTTATTTTGACTCGCTTTAATACGAGGCATGAAAATTTTCCAACTGCTAATTTACAATGGTTTAAAAACTGTAGTTATTACTTATATTATCATAATCAGAAGGTATGTAATGTTATGTGTCGAATCTGATTGTGTTGATCAATCGTATTATTCTACTGCATCGAACCTCAAGTTTCTTGTGCTCGCTAGGGGGTGCGAGGAGTTTACCCCTTGCTTGAATTCTGGTGCTTTGCACCATATTTTTTTCCGTACGATGCCCCGGCACTATTTACCCGAGCGCCCTGCGATGCGTACTCGAGCACCCAAATGCTGAACGACAAAGATCAGAGCACCACAGTGGCCTAAATATGGCGTCGCAGTGGTTCAAGACAGAGGCTTGAGCGCAACAGCACTTCAAACTAACGCTTCGGTGCTGCGAGAGGGACTGGACTGTTTTCTTTCTCGTTTCCTGAAGGGTTGTGTCCCTTGGAGTTATTTTACTTGACTTTCTCTTGTATTTTCAGTTAAGGCAAGAGAGAGAATAGTGCATGTGAGAAGAGAAACAAGGAGAGAGTGAGAGAGAAGAGAGATCTGTACTTAATTTTCCCAATTTTGATAGTGGATTTCTTGTTGTGTTGTGGCTCAATGGGTTTTTCCCTATTTTGGATTTTTTCATGTTAAATCTTGGTGTCTTTTACTTTTCTGCTGCTTTTACCATTTTACTTGTTTCAGTTAGAGCAAGAGAGAGAATAGTGCATGTGAGAAGAGAAACAAGAAGAGAGTGAGAGAGAAGAGAGATTTGTACTTATTTCTCCCAATTTTCATAGTAGATTTTTTGGTGTGGTGTGGCTCCATGGTTTTTCTTCCTATTTTGAGTTTTTTCATGATAAATCTTGGTGTCCTTTACTTTTCTGCTGCTTTTACTTACTTGTTGGTTTCATCATTGTGGTGTTTACTTCTCCTCATCTTTCCCAACAATTGGTATCAGAGTGAGATTCTTCAGATCGAGTGAGAGTAATGGTGGACGAAGCAAGGTACAAGATTGAAAAGTTCAATGGTTCTAACTTCGCATTTTGGAAGATAGAAATTGAAGATTTGTTGTATCAGAAGAAGTTGTGATTTTCATTGAAAGGAATCACTAAGAAGCCAAATTCTATAACTATGGAGGAATGAGAGATTCTTGACCAGACTGCACTAGGTTTGATATGACTTTTACTTTCCTTATCTATTACGTTCAACATTGTATATGAGAAGACTATAGTTGATCTCATATCCACGCTGACTAAGATGTATGAGAAGCCATCGGCCTCAAACAAAGTGTTATTGATGAAGAAGTTATTCAATATGAAGATGTTGGACAACACCCAATGGCGAAAAACCTGAATAATCTGAACACTGTGATGAGTCAATTATGTAAGAAAGCTGGGATGGGCATTTTACTGTTGTGAGTAATTCTTTTGAAAGTCCAAAGCTGAACATTGAAGACATTATGTGGTTGGTGCTTAATAAAGAGGTTCGCATGAGGGTGAACGGTGAATCTTCAAATTTTGCTCTAAATGTTGAAGCAAGAGGAAGGGGTTTAGAGATAAATCTAAATAAAGGGAGATCTAAATCCAAGAGAGGAAAGTCTACTTTAGGTAGAGGAAAAGTTGTGTGCATGAGCCGTGGAAAGAAGGGTCACTTTAAGAAGGATTATACAGTTTCAAATAAGGGAAATGGTGGAGGTCAAGATAAAAATCATTTTGCAAATATATCTGCAAAAGAATTTCTATCAGATTCTCTGAATTTATCTCTAGACAATTCTGAATTTTGGGTGATAAGTTCAGGTGCTTCTTTTCATGCAAGTTCTAACAAGGAGGCATTCAAGAACTATACTCAAGGTGATTTGGGTAAAGTGTATATCGGGGACAACAAACCCTGCAACATTGTTAGACAGGGAGATGTTGATATCAGAATGTCAGATTGGTCAATTTGGAGATTCAAAAATGTTAAGCAAGTTCCTTATCTAAAGAGGAGTTTAGTTTCTATGAGTCAGCTTATAAACTTAGGCCATGTGACATCATTCATAGGAGATACTTGGAAGGTGATAAAAGGGGCTATGGTTATAGCTCGTGGCAGTATTGAAGGCAACCTGTATGTTATCAATAGAAGAACATATTCTATTGGAATAGCAGATCAAATGTTGATGGAGGACTTTGGCATTGAAGGCTTGACCATATTAGTAAGAAAGACATGCATTCACTTTTTACTAAAAGAAAGCTTCATGGTTTAAAATATACAGATTTAGAATTTTGTGAAGACTGTGTATATGGCAAGAAACATAGCGTGAGTTTTCTAAATACTAGTTCAAAGGTCAAGCCAAAGAAGTTCGAGTTAGTGCATAATGATATATGAGGTCCTGCTCCACTTACTTCTATAGGAGGATCTTTATATTTTGTCATATTTATTGATGATCACAATAGGAATGTATGAGTGTACTTAAACTATAAGTCATATGTGTTTAATATTTTTAAGAAGTTGAAGGCTATGGTTGTGCTTGAGATAGGTCTAAAGCTCAAGTGTCTCTGATCAGATAATGGTGGTGAGTATTTTGATAAGAAGTTTAAGAAGTATTGTGCTTTGAATGGGATCAGTCATGAGTTTACTGTTCTAAGAACACCATAGCATAATAGTGTTGAATAGCGCAAGAATAGAACTATTACTGAGCATGAGATTACATGCTGGTCTACTCAAGTAGTTCTGGGCAGAGGCAGTGAATACTGTAATTTTTCTTATCAATCGTGATCCTTCAGTTCCTCTAAATGAGGGGTTACTGAGGAAGCATGGAGTGGAAAAGAGGTTAGTATATCCCACCTCAAATGTTTTGGTTGTTCATCCTATGCTCATATTAATACAGGATCTAGGAGTAAACTTGATCCAAAATCTATCAAGTGTACATTCATTAGATATGGCTCAGATACATTTGGCTACAATTTCTGGGATTATCAAAATTAGAAGTTTATCAGGAGCAAGGATGTCAAATTCAAGGAAAGTGAAATGTATAAGGATATAAATGGGACTCCTGGAGATTCTTCCAAATATGTTGAAATTGAGGATGATGATAATCAAGAAGATAAAGCTGATGAAGCACAGAGAGTACCTCTGACTCCTGCTACTGAAATTAGGAGATCAAGCAGAATCTCAAGGCTAGCTCAAAGGCATTCTCCTTCTTTGTACTATCTATTGCTGACATTTAGTGGTGAACTAGAGTGCTATGATGAAGCCATTCAAGTTGATGGTTCAAATAAGTTGGAGCAAGCCATGAATGATGAGATGCGTTCACTTGAGTAGAATCATATTTGGGAGTTGATAGAGCTATCAGATGACAAGAGAGAGGCTGAAAGAAGAACCTGATGGTAACAAGCACTATAAGGTAGACTTGTAGTTAAAGGTTTTCAGCAGAAGGAAGGAGTAGACTTCACTGAAATTTTCTCTCTAGTGATTAGATGGCTACAATCAGAGGTGTATTGCATGGTAGCAGTTGAGGATTCATATCTAGAGCAGATGGATGTAAACAAGGGCGGAGCCATTCATATGTGAAGGGGGGCAATTGCCCCCCCTAAAAAAAATACTTAGATGAGGGCCATTTTTTTAATTTTGCCCCCCCCCCCATAAAATATTTATTTTGTCCTAATCGAACCGGGTCTCGCTTTTTGTCTCTCGCATTCATCCCGATTCCCGCACAGCCTCTCCGAGCCTCCGACACTATTTCTCTTCTCTGGTGAGCCACGAGTGAGAGATCGCCTTTGACACCGACTACTCTGCCTAGTTCACCGGCTTCTTGTTTTAGCATTAACTCTGCCAGTTGTCACCGCTACAATGGAGAGAGCATTTTCAACAATGAAAATTGTTAAATATAGATTACGCAGTAAAATGGGTAATGATTTGCTCAACAGCTGTCTAGTGTCATATATTGAGAAAGAAGTATTTGATTTGGTTCCAAATGAAGTTGTAATGCAACATTATCAAAAGATGCAAAATAGAATGCAAAGCTTGTAATTTTTATTGAAATATAATAACTAGTTTGAATTTTGTTATAAATATATTTTTTATCTTTTTATAATTTTGCCCCCCTAAGAATTAAGGCAGATTCCGCCCCTAGATGTAAAGACAACATTTCTTTATGATGAGCTTGAGGAAGAGTTGTACATGGTGTAACATAAGGGATGTGTGGTCACAGATAATAAATATCTAATTTATAGGCTCAGGAGGAGCTTATATGGACTGAAGCAAACACCAAGACAATGGTACAAGAGATTTGACAGGTTTAAGTCAGATAATGGGTACACGAAGTATCAGGCAGGCAACGTTGTTTTTTCAAACATTTTGGTAATTGTTATATTATGTTGCTTTTGCATATGAATGACATGTATGTTGCATGGTTATATATGGAGAAGATAAAATATATGAAAGAATAGTTATTAAAGAAGTTTGAAATGAAAGATCTGGGTCCAGCAAAAAAAATTCTTGGTATGAGAATCAGAAGTGATAGAAGTGCAGGTATAATGAAGTTGTCTTAGGTAGAATATTTTGAAAATGTGCTTTAGAAATTCAACATTAGTGAGGCAAAGCTAGTTTGCACTCTCTTGGGTAGTCACTTTAATTTATCCAAGGAACAATCGCCTATATCTGAAGTAGAGGAAGAACATATGAAGAAGACTTCATATGCTTCAACAGTTGGAAGTTTGATATATGTTATGATATGTACAAGATCTGATATAATATATGCAGTGGGAGTATTCAGCAGATTTATGAGCAACCCAAGCAAACTTCATTGGGAGGTGGTTAAGTGGATTCTCAGGTACTTGAGAGGATAAGTTGACAAAGCTCCTTGCTCTGGTGGTGCACAGATTGATCTATAGGGTTATGTAGATTCTGATCTTGTTGGAGATCTTGATGGTACGAGAATCACAAGAGGTTATATCTTCACTTTGGAAAATATTGCAATCAGTTAGGTTTTCAAATTATAGAAAATTGTTGCACTCTCAACCACAAAAGCAAAGTACATTACCATCATTGAGGCTAATAAGGAGGAGATTTAGATGAAAATTTTCTTGATATAAATTGACAAGGCACAAAGAAATGGGAAGCTACATAACGACAACACGAGTGCTATAAATCTAGCCAAGAATGTTGTATTCCATGCCAGGATGAAGCACATCCAGCTTCAGTATCATTTCATCATGTTGTTTCTAGAACATGGTCAATTATCTTTTGAGAAGATACACACGTCCGAGAATCCTGCAGACAATAAAGATGTTGACAGTTGATAAATTGAAGCTATGTATAACTTCAGTTGGTCTTCATGGAGGATGAGAGCAGGGATAAGCCACACTACCTGTATTATGATTTGTGTTACAGATTCGGGGAATGATTGATTGAAATCAGTTCCAAGTGGGATATTATTATGTGTGGAATCTGATTATGTTGATAAATAGGATTGTTTTGTTGCCTCAGACCCCAGTTTCTATTGCTCGTGGGGGGGGGGGGTGGGGGGGGTTGGTCGGGGGGGTTTGACGTGGGGGTATGTGCGAGGGGTTTACCTCCTATGTGGGTTCGGCTGCTTTGCATCTGAATTTTTTTTAGTACAACGCCCCAGCGCTGCATACCTGAGCACCCCGACGCTGTGTTTCTAAGCATCCCAGCACTAAATGACAGAGATCAGAGCACCGCAGCAACCAAGTTATGGCACCGCAACGATTCAAGATAGAGTATTGAGTGCCATAGTGCTTCAAACTGGCGTTGCAATATGGACTGAAGTTATTTTACTTGGCTTTCTCTTGTATTTTCAGTTAGGGTAGGAGTGAAAACAGTGCATGTGAGAAGAGAAGCAAGGAGAGAGAAGAGAGATATGTATTTATTTCTTCCAATTTTCATAGTGGATTTCTTGGCGTGGCGTGGCTCCATAATTTTTTCTCTATTTTGGATTTTTTATGTTAAATTCTGATGTCATTTACTTTTCCGCTTCTTTTACTTTATTGCTTGTTTTGTTATTGTGGTGTTTACTCATCTTCCCCAACATGTACACTACTTACTATGAAACTCAGAAGATATTTTATAGATACACAATGGAATCTCCATCTACGTCAATGTTTCACTAATCTATTTGGAATATTCGAGTAAATACCTTCTCCAATTTCCTCCCCCAGCACAAGGTCTTCCCATCGAATTTCAGAGTCTCCCACCAAGTTTGGTTCTATCTCGTCAACAGTAGATGAACCTGATTGGCTACTAGCAGTGGTCTCTAAAGAAGAAGCTGATTTTGAATGCTGTAAACCTTCCATCATTGGCGATGTATTCTTCTTTGATATTTTTGCTTGTTCTGGTGGATCTGCCAGTAAGTTCTCTCCATCTTGCAGTACATCACCATCCTCCATCTCAGTTATGCAACATTGTTCAAGACCTACAATTGACAAAAGATCTGTTAGACCATTAAATTCCCAACATCCACCATTTTATTAGAAACAAGAGATAATAACAAAATTTTGCCAACATGTCTCTGCTTACCTGTACACCCACTTCTGCAAGGAACAAGAACTCTTCCTTCTTTAAGACATTTTTTTCCTTGATAGCATGAAGCACAACATTTTGCATCCATCTCACCCAGAGGTGAAATTTCTGGCCGTTGATCCTATATCATGAAGACCATTAAATATCGTATCTGCTAAACAAAGAGTAGTAGTTCAACATTCTTCTGAGTAGTCCGATACAACCATCTTTTCCTTCTCTTGATTATTGAAAAACTAATTACATTTAATGCACTTATAAGGATGCCGTATATACTTGCAAAAAAGCATTAAAATTATGACAGCACTGGTACATACATTTTGTAATGAACCATCTGCTGAAACAAATACCGAGTTAGTTTCTGTATTTCCTTCCAACTCTGGAGCCTGACTGCCATTTATTCCGATGTGCAGCTTTGCAAGAACCTTCCCAGCCTGATATTTTTCAAGATGGAAAAATCACACATAGCAAAGAAAAACTCCAGGGAACTTATAATAGCCGCACAAACGTAAGTAATCACAAGAACAAACAGAGAGTAATTAGCTAAGAAAGTTCAGGAAGAGCCTGCAGTTAAATTATGGCAGACGAATTTGTTTAGTCTCCACATACTTCGATGTCTTTCATATGGTCTTCTTTTTTTGCATGTTCTAGATGTGGTATTCCTTCCCTGACAGAATTTTGAGTGGAAATTATTGGGTTCGGACACTGGACATAGCTTATCGTTCGAAGACCAATCAGGTGCAGCCATGTTATCGAGTACCGAGCTTGGTACTATGCAGTACTGAGTCGGTACTGAGCAGTACCGAGCTCATTACTGAGTAGGAGGTGATGTGACGCATTTTGATTGGGCTCTGGACGGCGTCCGGTATCCGTGTCGGGCCCAATAATTTCCCTATTTTAAGGGATTCTAGTTAATGCTCACAAAAATATGTAAACCATTGTAACAGAACACCTACACGGGTTGGAAATAAAACACGAAAACTAGAAGGAAGAAGAAGCAGGGGTTGATTCACGCAGCAGGAGAATACTTCATTAATTCATCTTAACGTGTACATATACAGTAAGTGAATATTTATGCATAATGAAGAGAATGTTCTGGAGTCTGTCACAGCCGTTAGTGATAGGAGTAGTGGAGAAAATAAAGAGTGCTGGAACATTGTGTTAAGTTATGCTGCGGTGTATTAAACCGGGTCTTGACAGCCCCCCTCAAATTAAGCATCTAACTGTTGGATGGTTAATTTGTTGCGAAGATCGGAGAAGCGCGAAGCTGAGAGAGCTTTAGTGAATATATCTGCCAGCTGATCAATGGAGCTGATATGGAAGATCTCAACTTCTTTGTTCTTGATATGATCACTTATAAAGTGATAGTCTATCTCAATGTGTTTGGTCCTGGCGTGGAAAACTGGGTTATTTGCGAGGGCGAGTGCTGAAATGTTGTTACAGTAAATGGGAGTGGGTCTTGGCTGAGAAATGATGAAGTCAGTGGCGAGGCGACGGAGCCAGATGACGTCAAAGGTGGCAGAAGAGGACCGATATTCAGCCTCGGTAGATGATTTTGCCAAAGTGGCTTGTTTCTTGACTTGCCATGAAATAAGGTTGGAGCCTAGATATGTACAGAAGCCTGTTACGGATTTGCGATTGGTAGAGTCGGCGGCCCAATCGGCATCGGTGTAGGTACGAAGTGTGAGATCTCCTTTGGTAATAGGTAAGCCATAGTGGATGGTCCCTTTGATGTAGCGGAGAAGTCTTTTAAGAGCTTAGAAGTTGCGGTTTGAAGGGTTGTGCATATGTTGGCATATGCAATTAGTGGCAAAGGCGATGTCGGGGCGGGTGATGGTAAGGTATTGTAGGGAACCGGCGAGGCGGCGGTAGGATGTGGGATCGGGATATGGTGAATCGGGTGTGGTCTGTTTAGTGGATTTGGTGGACATAGGTGTAAGGGCCAGTTTGCAGGAGAGGAAGCCGACAGAGTCTAGGATGGCATTGGCATAATGAGATTGCTGGAGAAACATGCCATAATTTGTGTATTGCACCTGTATGCCGAGAAACATGAAAACCGGACCCAATTGTTGAAGAGAGAAATTGTTTTGCAGTTGTGACAACTGATGTTGGATAGTCTCCGGATGATTGCCAGTAAGCAATATGTCATCTACGTAGATAAGAAAATATATTTGAATGTCCCTGTTGTTGTACCGAAGCAGGGAAGGATCGGACTTGCTGAAACAAAAGCTAAAATCTGTGAGAAATGAAGTTAGTTTTTGGAACCACTGGCGGGAGGACTGTTTGAGGCCGTATATGACCTTGTGTAATCGGCAGACATGGTCCGGATGTTGGGGGTCGATGAATCCTTGCGATTGATGCATGTATACTTCTTCTTCGAGATCGCCATGTAGGAAAGCATTGGCAACGTCGAATTGAAGTATTTTGCAGTCGTGGTGGAGTGCAACAGCTAGTAAAACCCGGATTGTGGGGAGCTTAGCAACGGGGCTGAATGTATCCTATAATTGACACCGAATTGTTGCGAATAACCTTGTGCGATGAGGCGTACTTTGTAAATAGCAATGGTCCCGTCGGGATGAAGTTTGAGTTTATAAGTCCAGCGACAGCCAAGGATGGGTGTATTGGGTGGTGGCTTGGTGAGGGACCAAGTGCCTTGTTTTTATAGGACTAGGAATTCGGTGGGCATGGCTGTCCTCCAAGGTTGGAGTTTAGAAGCTTGGTTGTAGGAGGAAGGGGTGGTAGGAGTGGGAGAATTGGCGTAGAGATCGAAGATGGGTTTGGGACGTAGGTGGCCAGTGCGGAGGCGTGTTTGCATGGGATGTAGAGTGGAATGGTTGCTGGGAGAAATTGGGGACGGTGGGCGGTAGGAATCTGAAGTGGAGTGATTTGAATGTGGAGGTGATATAGGAGTTTGTGAAGAACCGGGTGGTGTTGGTGAAGTGGTAGGTGGGGAAGTGGAATGAGGGATAGTAGAAGGAGGAATTGGGAGTTGTGGTGGCGTGTGGTCAGATTGCTTTATGGTGTTTGATGTGGTTTATGGGAGGTTTTGATGGAAGGAGTGTTCTTGGAAGATGACGTGGCGAGAGAGTAGATTTTCTGGGTGTTGGGATTGAAGCAACGAGAGCCTTTATGTTGTGTGGAGTAGCCGAGAAAAATGCAAGGAGAGGAACGTGGTGCGAGCTTGTGAGCGGCTTGTGGTTGTAACCAAGGATAACATATGCACCCGAAGGTGCATAAATGTGAATAGTTGGGTGGGTGGCCGTGTATGAGGGTGAATGGGGTTTGGAATTTAATAGAGGAGGAAGGTATGCGGTTTATGAGATAGTTTGAAGTCTGCAAGGCTTCGGCCCAGAATTTTGGAGAGAGGTTAGAGGCATTGAGGAGGGTGCGTGTGGTATCAAGTAGATGACGCCGTTTTGCTCAGGTATGTAGGGGCAAGATAGCTGACGGTTGATACCGTGGGTTAAGAGGTATTGATTGAAAATATTACTGGTGTATTCTCCTCCTCCGTCAGAACAGAGGATTTTGATATTAGTATTGAAATTGGTTTGAACCATGGAATGAAATTGTTTGAATTTAGTAAAAGCTTCATCCTTGGTGTGAAGAAGAAATAACCAGCATTATCGTGAATAATCATCAATAAAAATGATATAATAATGATAGCCATTAAGGGATGAGAAGGGAGCAGCTCCCCAAACATCAGAATGTATTAAGTGAAAAGGTGCGGTTACATGAGTAGAGCTGCTAGGAAAGGTTAACTTGTGGCTCTTGGCCACTTTACATGATTGACATAAAGGAAAAACAAAGGAATTACAAATAGTAGGGATAGTTTTAGATAATATGGCCATCACGCGAGGATGGGGGTGCCCAAGCCGATCATGCCAAGTTGAAGTGGAAATTGCGGACATATGAAGAGCGGTCGGAGTGGAGGGTGCTGAGGTGTGGAGAGGGTATAGCCCATCACGAATGCTGCCACGGAGAAGGGTTTTGTGGTCCTGAGGATCGTGGATGGAGAAGCCGCCAGAATCAAATAAAATGTAACAGTTGTTATCAGATGTAAGTTTGGAAATGGAGAGTAAATTATGGGAGAGAGAAGGAACGTGTAGGAGGTTGTGGAGGTGAAGCTTACGGTGTGATTCCGGAAGGGGGAGAATACCTTGGCCGCTATTATGAATGGGAAGTGATGATCCATTTGCAATAGATACGGTGTCTGTGCCGGTGTAGGGCGTTGCTTGCTGCAGGTTGTTGACGTCCATGGTGAGGTGAGTTGAAGCTCCAGAATCTAGAACCCATTCAGTGGGGGCAGGTGGATATGGGTTGGAGATAAAAGCTCATGGGTTAGATGACGGAGGTGGAGCGTACTGTTGCACATTGCAGCGGTGCCAGCAGAATAAGGCAGTGTGACCAAGTTTGCCGCAGATCTGGCATTGAGGTCGGGTTGTAGTCGTACCCGCAGGAGGTCGAGGGGATACGGATTTGTTGGTAGGAGGGGATCCCCGTCCGCGACCAGTTTTAACTGAGGGAATTTTGTAACGGGAAGATGGAGTACGAGCGGTGTAAAGTGCCTGGGTATCCGAAGGGCTATGGAGATCCCGCTGTAATTCGTTTTGTATATGTATCTCTTCACTGCATAACAGTGAATATAAATTTTCTAGATTGAGAGGATGAGGAGAAGTGCAGATAGCAGCTTTTAAGGGATTGTATGTGGGTGGTAGGCTATTTAATATGAAGATGATAATGTCCTCAGAATCGACGTTGGATCCAACTGCGACTATGTTGTAGATGAGGGTCTTCACCTGTGTGAGATATTGGGTGATAGATTGGCTGCCCATTTTGATATTGTGAAGTTCATGCTTCAGTTGGATAACCCGAGACCTATTGGTCGACTGTAGGCGGGTCTTGAGAGTGGCCCAGATCTCACTAGCTGTGGAGAGGTGGATGATGTATGGTAAAATAGAAGGGGATATGGTGGAGAGTAAAGCAAAGACCTAATTTTGGTCTATGAGTTTCCAGAGCCGATAATCGGCATTTACTATGTTCGATGCTGGTTCCGGCGGGCAAAGCAATTTTCCGGTCAAGTATCCTTTGAAGCCATTTGCTGAGAAGGATTTGAAAATTTGAAGTCTCCATATAGCGTAATTATCGCTAGAAAGTTGTACGTTGACAATGGACTTTAGGTTGGACATCAAAAATTTCAGCGGCATCGGAACGGTGAAGTCGGCCATGGATGCCGATAAGGATGACGTCGCCGAGGTATTAGAGGATGAACCTTGTTCTCCCATTGAAGAAGAGTAGAGCGTGCGTTGGCACTATTGCTCTGATACCATAACAGAACACCTGCAAGGGTTGGAAATAAAACAAGAAAACTAGAAGGAAGAAGAAGCAGGGGTTGATTCACGCAGCAGGAGAATACTTCATTAATTCATCTTAACGTGTACATATACAATAAGTGAATATTTATGCATAATGAAGAGAATGTTTTGAAGTCTGTCACAGCCGTTAGTGACAGGAGTAGTGGAGAAAATAAAGAGTGCTGGAACATTGTGTTAAGTTATGTTGTGGTGTATTAAACCGGGTCTTGACACATTGGACCTAATAGACCTGAGTCTCACAACTTATTGATAGTCTCGGTACTACTTGTAAAACTCTCCTTCACTATTTTTGGGTCCAGTATTATGTGGAAAGGTTAAGACTTAAGAGAATAAAGAGATGACAGAGAAAATACAGTAGTTTCAAAGGTAATAAAGAAATATAAAGGTACTGATGTGTACCAGATTTGATATAGATGATGTAATTTGAGGTTGTGAGGACCACTGCACTCTTTTAAAGTTCAAATTGGGTTCTCTTGACTGTCTGCGAGCTTCATCAGAGTGCGATCTTGGTCCATCTGATTTTGCATTGTTTAGCATGGAGGCATCACTTGAGACAACAATAACACCAATACACACACCATTCTCATACAATGGGTTCGCAGTTACCATTGCTATGAACAATTCTCCTGATCTCTTCCTAAAAGAAAACTGACCCGACCACGTTTCTCCTCCACATGCTCTTTCCACAATGCTTTCCCAATAAGGATGATTGCAGGCATCTACAAGTATATCAGTGACCTTCCGGTTGAGTGCTTCATAGCTCTTCCATCCATAAAGAACCTCGGCCACTCGATTCCTGATAGATTTAAATTTAAATTAATCAACAGAGGCACTTTCCCTTCAATTCATGGTCTTTGTTCTTAAGTTATTGAAATCTACTTCAGGGGTTCATGCCAACATATATACAAATAAAAATGGAAACTTTCCAGTTATTTCAAGTTTTGTCCTCTATACAATTTTGCCACTTTCTTGAAAATCTATCAGAGTAAAGTGATTTTAGGAATTCCTCACCTTAACCATTTGGCATAAATAATGAAAAATAGCATAATGTTTAAACTATTCAATGTGCCAGAAAATCAGAAAAGAACTGCAAAAAGCAAATCAAATCCTTAGGAATAGTTGTAGTAAATGGCTTAAAATCAACCGGCATTGCCATAAAAAGGTAATATCAGCTTCACAAATTGCATTTCCGGGCTTCCATATATGCCAAGAGAATATGATACGTGAGCATTTCTAATATTTGCAACCTTGTTGTAAAACTGAAAAGCATAAAAATAGTTAACTTTTTGCAAGTCCTAAGAATGTTTCAATCATTCCAATGAAAACTGATGAAAAACTAAAAAGATTTTATGTCATAAATATGGAAAATTGAAGGGAAACTATAATTTTTTATAGTAGTCACCTATTTAACCAATATTATGAACCAACAAATTCCACTCACTTTACGGACAATCCTTGTGAACGGTTGAAATTAAACTACTACAACAAAAAATTATGAAAAAGTAAAAAATAGCAAATCATAACATACATGAAAGAATATAAATTGCTATAATCAGTTCTGTTCATTCAGTTTAATCAGCTAATATACTCTTTAAGATGAGCCATATAAAAATTTAAAGTAAAGTTTTCCAATAAATATCCTTTTCTTTTTTATATAGGTTTAGTATGGGGTGGCTTTCTTACTGCTTCTTAAAATAATTTTTTATTACAAAAATTTAAAATTTTATTATAAAAAGTTGTTTTAAGAAGTAGTAAAAAAGACATCTCAAACCAAGCTATAATCAGGTTTAAAAATATGTTACAAAACTTATTATTCAGGATAGAAAGTTAGATTTGAAATCAGCTTATTAAATTCATATAAACAGGGATGTCATCTATTGTTCTAACCGAGCCACTTAAATCTGGATTTTTTCGAGTCACTCTTTGTTGTTATTTTGTATGTTCATCGTATTCATTTTAGTTCCTCCCAAAGCAGCAATCCCTCAGGCTTCCAGCACATACAAGACGCCTAATTGAAATATTTCAAGCTCCAAAATTTTTCATAGGAACTCGAAATGTAATTAAAGCCTTAAAATTCGTAAGGCCGCCAAAGTAAATCTACAAGATCGTCCGTAGCTGGCGTAAGAGTGGCTCTGATAACCAATTTGTAAAATTAATCAAACACTTGACGCGCATAAGAAGTTGAACAAGCACATCTGATTCAAACCAATCTTAATAATCAAAACAAACCATAAGATTATCAGATGGGAACGAACCAATAGAAGATCTCGCCGGAAACTGGCCTGCAGATATGGAGCGCGTGACCGAGTTGATGTAGAAGGCTTCGATAAGGATTGTTGACGAAGTTTCCCGCCATCGTCATCATCATCACATCTTGCTGTTCTCCTATTCGGCCTCGTTTCTTCTCGCCTTTATCGCTGAGGAAGAGCTGGAGGTGCTCCCGGAGCTGCGCCTGGCTAACTTCCAGTTCATGGAATCGCTTCACCAAATCCTCTTCCGCTGCCCCCATGCTTCACCGTCCCTGTTCGATCACCGGCGACGAACTCTGAGGCCGATTAAGTCATGCGATTCCGATTCCCGGCCGCGGATTCAGAAGTCATCTTCCCCCTGCGCTACCCAGCTCCCACTTCGATAAAAATTCTTCTTTATTGTGAAAGTATTATAATATGAAGTAAAACAGCCGTCGTGCAATTTATGCAGGCAAGCCAAGCTATGAGATCTAGATTTCTAACGGCAACTAGCCTAGGGACTTATGTAAAAAATCAACCAAAAACAGACAAAAAGAGAACTTTGGCTTCTCTTTAAATAAATTTTATATTACAAATTGCATAATATTTTATAAAATAATAATATTATTTTGTTTTATGATTTTTTTTTTTTTTGGAAAATTAAGGTCAAAGCCTATTCAATTATAAAAGATAATTACAGGTAAAAAAGAGGAATACAAATAGGTACCAAAAGAACAAAACATGTGATATTGAGCAGACGAACAAAAAGGTTCAACATAAATGAATGAAAAAAGGAAAAAAAAAAACCCAAAATAGTGAGCAACCTAAAAAAACAACAAAGAGAGCATCAGAAGAATAAAGCATAGCACGTAACAAAAGGCTTAGAACTAAAATTTGCAACACGACGCCCGACCAAAGAAAACTTCCCCCCGATTGCGAGAATTGCCATCAAAACAAGAGAAATGTTGCATATAGTCACCATCATGGGGAAGGGAGTTGCAAATTGATTATCCTTTCCCCCTACCAATCCCCAGCCAATAGCCAAAATCAAGAGCAGAGAAATGTCAGACCAGCTCCATAACCGAGAAAAAAAAAAAAAAAAAAAGAGCAAAACCTTCATCAGGAAGCAAAAGAACAACCAGAATGCCTCATACAACAATACCACAGCAGCATATGCTAGGAGAAGCAAAAAAGGAAGCTGCCATGCTAAAAAAAAACCACTTCGAAGCCTTCAGATAAACCCCTTTCCTTATAATGTCACAAATGTTGGATTGACTTTTTAAAATATCAGAATATTTTCTTGCATTCCTTTCTCTCCAGATAGTGTAAACCGAACACCACAGTAACAAAAAATTCAGCATATTGTGTCGATCAGCAGCAGCAATAAAATCCATAAGTTGATAGATATTTGGTCTCATGAGAAAATTATTTAAACTGGGCATGATAGTGGAAATGATAGAGAAAGAGAAACCACACTCAAAAAAGAGGTGAGAAGCACTTTACAAATTCGATTTGCAAAAACAACAAACAAGATCTACCGCAATATTCCTTTTAATGAGAGCATCCGCAGTTTTTAAACCACCAACCAAAGCAAGCCAGCAAAAAATGGAATATCTGAGAGCATAGTGCTTATGCCATACCAAAGAAAACCAAGGCAACACTTCATCTTCTTTATAAAAAAACTTGAATAAAAGCTTGAAAACCTTTCACAGTACCCGTACCCCAATTAAGACAGCCTTTGTTGTCATCATAATTAATAGTAATAGCCTGTAATTTATCTCTAATATGGTCAGAACAAGCAACAGGAATATTCCAACTATTAGAGTCAATAATAACTCTAAGACAGGCATAATGAGAGAACAGGGAGGTAAGAGAAACACTATCCGGGAGGTCCTGTAAAGATAAACCATGACACCATAGATCCCAATTCAAGGAAAGAGAAATGGACGGCAGAACATTGAAAACATCACTATCTTTAATTTTTACAGCAATGGAACATATATTTTTCCATATGATGGAGGCAACAAAGGAGAATTTCTTCCAGGGAGAGTACTAATATTTGATCATCCAATAGGAAAGTAAGGAAGGAGAATTGTAAATTCTAATGATCAAAGAGCAGTTAGCAGCATGTCTAAGGGCCTTAAGAGCAGGAATGCCTAGACCCCCTTTGTTTTTTGGTTTACAAGTTTTATCCCAACTGACCATATGCAATTTCTTAGCCGCAATATCACCAAAATAGAGAAACTTAGCAAAGAGTTTCTCAATTTGCTTAGCACAACATTTAGGTATAATAGAACCCCGAATTCAATAAGCTATAATATTCCAGCCTACCTGCAAAAGAAAGAGATTTCTCTTTCCAACCTGAAAACTTGTTAGTATAATAACATCAAGGAGGGGAGAGAAGTCCGCAAGAAGGACTCCTTAATAGAGATAGGTAACCCCAAGTAGATAATCGAGTAGCAAAGGAGAAGATGTTAAGTGAGGCACAAATATCATTGGCTTGGGGATTGTTAGGGTGAAGAATAATGCTACTTTTGTGCGGGTTAACCACAAGACCAGAGGAATCAGCAAAAGAGGCAAGGATACTCTTTAAAACCAAGCAATTATTTAAGGAGGCTTTGCCAAAGATGAGGAGATCATCTACATAGAGGAGATACGAAAAGTGTAAGTCTTTGAAAACAATAGCCTCAAAACCTCTCCCATTAGTAGGGGTATCAAGTAAACATGAGAGAGCATCCACGATAATACAGAATAAATACGGGTTTAAGGGACAGCCCTGCCTGAGACTAGTCCCCGAGCTGAAATAACCCTCCAAACTCCCATCCAGACACACGGAAAAATGCACATCCGATATTCAAGCCCGTACCCAACCTATAAAGGTAGGGGGGAAACCCTTTTGAACTATTCTATTAAATAAAAAGTCTCTAGACACAGTGTCCTTCTTAATGTCAAGTTTAGCATACATGTAATTCCCTCTGGAGCACTTTTGATTGTATCTCAACAACTCAGCCGCAAGGATTACATTGCTAGTGGCCACTCTTTTATAAATGAAATAAGCTTGAGATTTATTAGTTATATGAGGCATAATATATTTAAGCCGAGTAGCCAAGATTTTGGCAATGATCTTATAAAGAGTGTTGCATAATGATATAGGCCTGAAGTTAGAAATAGTGGTCGAGTGAGAGAACTTATGCATAAGAGTAATGGCAGTGGCTTTTACCCTATTAGGCATATAGTTTTTCTCAAAAAATGATTTAACAGCTTTGCATAAGGAAGGCCCCAGATGTGCCAACTCGATTTATAAAAATGATAATTAAAGCCATTCGGCCCTAGAGAAGACACAGAGGAGCCAGAAAAAAGCTACCTTTTTGATCTCGTCAATTGAGATAGGAGCGGTGAGTAAGGTAGCCATATTAGGGGGAATAACATCACCAATCAGAAAATCAAAGATATCAGGATTAGGAGGAGGTGGTGGATTATAAAGGTTTTGAAAATGCTGAGTGATTGCGGAGCTAGCATTATAATGATTTCCAATACTTCCCTCAACAGCAGACAAAATAGAAGCCACATTAAAATTATTCCTTATTCTAATCTTAGAATAAAGGAATTTGAGATTGTCTTCCCCATACTTTAACCATTTGGCCTTTGCTCGTTGAATAAGCCAAGAGGACCAGGAAGTAGTGAGATGAGCAATATCATCATTGATAGTTTTTAGTTCAGTGTTCAAATGAACACTAGTAGGGTCACATTCTAAAAGAGATAAACACAAATTTTGTCTTTCATGAAGGCTTTTTAAATAGGCTTCCATACTAGATGAGGAAGTCCATTCTTCAAATTTGATACCAATCTTGACCTTCACAAGTTTATGACAAAAATCCATGATCGGATTGCCCATAGGAGGCTCCATGAAATTAGTACTAAGGAGGATGTTCCAATAATCATCTTTCATATTCTAATAATTTTTGAATTGGAAACGCCTCGTCTTATTAAAAGAAAATCATTTTTAATGACAAGAGAAGAGTGATCAGAGCAAGCGGGTTCACTAACTAAATAGAAAGAGGAAGAATATCTAGATAGCCAGTCATCATTAACAAGAACTCTATCCAATTTTATGTGAATTGGATTTTCAGTTTGTTGGTTGAACTAAGTAAAAAAATGCCCCGTTGAGGGAAGATCTTTAAGTTGCGTATCAAAAATGAGAGTGTTGAAGTCTCCAAGTATACTATGATGTAGATTTGCACCACCGACTTTTTCATTTAGAAATATGCAGCAATTGAAGTCCCCTAAGACAACCCAGGGAGAAGGGGAAGAAGGAGCATTATCTCGGATTTTCTGCCAGAGGCTAGATCTCTCCTCAGCTGAGTTAGAGGCATAAATGACAGAGAGGAGGAAAGAATCGGAGTGCTCATAATTAACCCGACTAGTGATTATTTGAGCCGAGGTGAATAAAGGGGTGAATTGAAATTTGCTGGTGGACCATTTGATCCAAATTTTACCGGGAGAAGAAACCTCAAAATTGTTGAAACTACCTTCATCTTCAAAAATCAAATGTGAAGAGAGAAACCAAGGATCAGACATGGCATTATTTTGAATTTTATTTTCCAAAAAATATAACATATCAAGCTTATGAGCTTTAACTAAATGCTTACAGGAGAAAACCTTGCTAGGGTCATTGAACCCCCTTATGTTCCAAGAAGCAATAGAGGGAAGAGTCATTGAGTTTTTGTAGAGAAAGAGGATGCCTTTCATGTGTGCTTTGATCTAGGATTTTTTTGTTGAGGGTGGATGGGATTATGGTAGGGGGAAAGTGCTTGCTATGAGGCTCGGTGGAAACCTGCTCAAAAGTGGGCTTATAAGATTTGCTCTTGTCAACCAAAGCATCATCCAGTGTTATACTTTTGGATTATGCATCAATCAACACATCGTATTTATTGGGGGAGATTATATCCGAAGGTTTAGCCACAAACACATTAGGACTTATAGACGACACCACAACTTCGCCGGTTGGTGAATTGAGATTGGGGATGTGATTTGGAGGAGAAATGACAATGGAGGGATGGGTTTTAGTGGAGATGATTTTGGGTGGTGGAGACTGTTCTGAGGTGTTTTGAAGGACCAGTATGGAAGGGGCTTGGGAGGGAGTTTTTCCCTGGGAAGGATGGTTTTGGGTATCCGACACATTCTTGCTTCTGTCAGAATGAGGAATGATAGTAGAAACTGGCTTATCCACCAAAATCTCAGTGGATGGGGTGATAAGTGGAGGTTGTTGTGGTTGAGGCAGGGAGTGGGGTTGTGGAGTATTATGTGGTGGCTGTTTGAGGGAGAAGTGGTTTGGAATGGAAGCTGCTGGGATTGAGGGCGAGAAGTGGGATTTTGGATACGAGGAGACAGCGGCCTACTTCTGCTTTTAGTACTGAACCGTGTGTTAACATGTTCCCTGGAAGGCCTTCTGGCTCTATTTGTGGGATTGGAAATCTTAGTCTCAGTAGCTTGGC